TTTTGGGGATCAATATGGGACTGAATATAATTGCAAAAATAAAATGAAGTCTATTCTACAGCTTAGAAGGGATGCTATTCCCAGTTATCCCCTTCTGAGGATGAAAATAGGAAGAGAGATACAACTAACACTTCAGCGCCATTCCTTTACTGTCCTCTGTATATATGAAATTGGGTGTGTCTTTGGCGAAATATATTCAGAAACATTTCTATGCTAAAAGGTCTGAGAGATGCATAGATAAATGTGTTTCTTTCTTTTTTAGCTTATTCACCAGCATAGATTAATGGGAAAGAACTTGGTAAGATTCTGGATTGAGAGTCAGAAGACTTGATGCGGTGTTTGTCGCATTTTAGTTACTGATTATATGGTGATGTTGGCCAGTTACTAGGTCCCTGGGTGGCACAACTAGTTTGCTCTTGTCTACTAATCAAAAGGTTGGTGGTTTGAACCCACCCAATGGCACCACAGAAGGAAGGCCTGGTTATCTGCTTCTGTAAAAATTATAGCCAAGAAAATCCTATGGAGCTCAGTTCCACTCTGTAACACATGGAGTCACCATGAGTTGGAATTGACTTGATGGCAATGGATTGTTTTGTAAAAACAAGCAAACAAGTAAAACTTCCTCCTCTGTCAGTCTAGGACTTTGCACAGGGAGTTAGAGAATTTTCTAATGATCAAATTTCTGTTAAACTTCAAAGTGTATCTGAAATTGAACTCTCGGAAGTAGCTCTACAGGATAAACCCATACCGGAGAAGGCTGCCCCATGCCCACCACAATATACATGGCCTACATTTTTGAAGAAGGAGCTGGAATTCCTGGGGGTGAGTGAGGCTCCTCCAACCTAGACTGGAGTAGGGCTGCCTTAAGGAAGGAATATTTGGTTGTGTAAGCAGAGTACCCCTTTTGGGTTCATGAGGAAGTGAAAGGCCCTCTAAAAGAACATTTTAGAGGTGGATAAAGAGTGGACACTAACTGGGCCCTTTTGGGAAGAGAGAAGCATTTCCTTATGAAGGCTTTAAATTACTAAGACAAGAATGGCAAATAGGATCTGTCAACTCTCGTCAGTTGCTGATTAATTTAATGTCTTACTGTGAAAAAGTCAGAATCTCGTCTTCATTTAGATGGAAAGAACAATTACTGATGTCCATCATGACAGCATAAATAAATGCATTAGCCATCTGTGCACTAGATAATGCCTGTATCAATTTTTACAGTGGCCAGGGAATACTGTAAAATCTCATATTTGGATCCTTAGTGCCTAAGACTCTAAAGCAACTTCTCATATTTGGCCTTCATTGTAAGGAAATTGATGCAATCTTGGGAAAATATCTTTTTATTCCAGAAAACCTATGCATTTTTCTACAGGTAACACAAATACTGATTGGTTTGATATGCCTTTCCTTTGGAACAGTTGTCTACTCCGTGCTCGATATTTCAGGATTAGAAGGAAAACTTTTTTCATCATTTAAAGCAGGCTACCCATTCTGGGGAGCAATATCTGTAAGTATATTCTACGAATTGTTCCCAAAATAACACTACACAGCTTTTGTCTTATGCAGAGCTAACCAATGGTTTATCACCAGTATTGAGATTACACATGTATATAAACAACAACAACGATATGTATGTGTGTTATTAGGTGCTGTTAAGTTGGTTCTGACTATGGGACTGAATATAATTGTGTATATATCTATATATATATCTATATATCTCGATAGGTAGATAGAGAGAGAGGGAGAGAAAGAGCTCCCTGGTGGCTCAGTGGTTAAGAGCTAGGCTGCTAACCAAAAGGTTGATGGTTGAAACCCACCAGCAGCTCTGCTGGAGAAAAGACCTGGTGATCTGTTCCTGTAAATATTACAGTCCAGAAAACCTTATGGGGCAGTTCTACTCTGTCATATAAAGTCACTAGGAGTCAGAATTGACTCGATGGCACACAACAACTATACGTATATACATATACGTATATATATCTCAAATGATCCTTACTATAGCTTCAAAAACCCACTACCATCAAGTCAATTCTGATTCATAGTGACCCTGTAGATTTTCCAAGGCTGTAAATCTTTATGGAAGCAGACTGATACACCTTTCTCCCACGGAGCTGCTGGTGGTTTTGAACCACTGAGTTTACTGTGGGTTAAATATGTTAGCATGCTTTTATCAGATGAAAAAA